ACACACACACACACACACACACACACACACACACACACACACACACACACACACACACACACACTCTTTCTCTCTCTGTCTCTAATCAAAATGTGTCCTGTGCCTTTTTGCTACTGTGAAACGTCCTAGGACACCACTGCTAAATACACCTGTAGGATCTCCATGGGGAAAGCAGGCTGCAGGCTGCCTGGTAGAAAAATGAGCAGTTTTGTAATTTTGTAAGCCAGGGTAAATCACTTGACAAGAAAGGCTGGAGGTGGCAGGTTTTCTGGAAAGATGAGATGTAACTAGCTGAAGTGTTTTCTCCGTCAAATCCCTTTTCAAAACAAAAACTCCCTCTATATTTTCTCTTTAATCAAACCCCGTGCCTGAGGAGAAGAGTATTTTAAAGTAGAAGTCAGGTGTCCTCTATTGAAGCCCACGCCTGGGAGAGAGGCAGCTGGGAGGTCATCCTGTATGGTCAGTCTTGCCCGGAGCCAGCGCCTCGCAGGGCGGGGTTTCACAGATCAGAATCATGGCGAAGCTGGGTGTTCCCTCGGCAAACGGTTAACTGAACTCTAGGTCTGCCCATTTCCCTCAACATTTCAAGACCCTCCTATCTGTGGTCTAGACACCCCGTCTAAGTGTGGTCCCTGCCCAGCATGGAGATCCCCCCCGGGAAGCGTGCTGGAAATGCAGCATCTCAGGCCCCGCCCCAGACCTACCAAATCAGCCTTCATGTTCACAAGACCCCCGGTGACATGTGTGCATTTTCAGTATGAGAAGCATCGATCACGCTGCTCAAAGGAGGCCTACCAATTCTTCCAGGTATGATCCGGGCTCTTTTAAAAAACCCAACTATCTGAAATGGCTACATAGCCTGGGATTCCAGCTATATGACATTCTGGAAAAAGCAAAACTCGAGAGCCAGTAAAAGGGCCAGCGGGCGCCAGGAGTTGGGAGGGCAAGGAAGGAGGGATGGATTGTGGAGCACAGGGTGTTTGCAGGGCAGTCCAACGATGCCGTAGGATACTGTCGTGGTAGATGCGTGTCATTATACGTGTATCGAAATCCAGAGAGTGTGCAGCCCAGAGTGACCTCTAATGTAAACGGTGGACTTTAATTCATCAAAAGGTATCAATCTTGGCTCGTCAATGATAACAAATGTATCACACAAATGCAAGGTGGTAATAATAAGGGGAAATAATGGAGTGGGGGTGAGGGGCATATGGAAACTCGCCCTAGTTTCCCCTCATTTTTCTGTTAGCCTAAAACTGCTCTTTAAAAAAATAGAGTCTATTAGATGACAACAGCAAAAAACTGGTGGGGCAGCAGACATCTTCTCACAGTTTGGGGTGCATAAAACTCTCCCTAATATCTTCATATCGTTTCCTCTTGCTCGTATCAACCGGTGCAGCCATGCTGCTCAACAGCTGGGCAGGACCCACACTGGTAGGGAAGGACATCCACGTAGAGCGGCTGGGATGGGATGGGCGCCCTGGGAGCTGGTGCACCCCCACCAGCATCTGCATGTCTCTCCCTGTGTAATTAATTCAACCTGGGTCAGCCCTGGGTTTACAGAGCAAAGGAGATGCTGATCGAGCCGCCGAAGTGGTGATCTAAGAATGGGGGAAAAGAACAGGTGCAAGTACTTCGTGCTACAGTAACCTCACTGGTCAACTACTAAATTACCAATCCTGGGGGAATGTGAAATAAGGCAGAGCTTCTCAAAAACAAATATCTGTACTAACATATGCACCTTATACTGTTCTGTTTAAATATGAATTTACTTAAAACAGGACATTATAACTGAATGTGTGAATCATGATGGGAAATGACCTCACATTTCAAAAGCCACCTCCAGCCACCATTGCATATTCAACACCAGTGGGACAACTTGACCTGATAAAGGAATTCATGTTTTCTGTTTATAGAACAGCTGGAAGTGTCTAGAAATTCTGAGGTTAGGAATGGGAGTGGGAAGATTTGGGCTGCGGACAGACCCAAAGTCCTTAACGACACAGTCACGTGCAAATACACAAATCGACACATAACTCGAGGTCAGTAAAAATGCTACAGGTATTTACAAAGATGGACTGTCTTTGAGACTGACAATTGATCCAGTCTCTCCATAAGTCTGGTCACAAACCCTGCTCCAAAATCAATTCAGCAAAGATGGCAGGTGACAGCTCTAGAGGCAGCTGCGAGCTCAGGCAGCTGGGAACAAGGGTTGTCACAGTACTTTCTGCAGGCTATGTGTTCTCTCCTGGGTGTTTTCAGATGTCTGCCTACATGACTGTGCTGCTAGGTGGTGGCCGTTAGTTTCCCATGGATGCTAAGTTTTCTTTTCTGCAGGGGTCCCAGGTGCTGTCTTCTTCACCGTTGTGGAGTTTGGCTGAATTTTGTTTTTCCCAACGCTTGGCTTCTTCTGTTTCTGGTTGTTATTTTGAAGTGATTTCAGCCCCAGCATTTTACAATACTTGTTACACTGGTGCAGTGCTTTAAACTGATCAATGAAGGTCATGGAACAATTGCCTTTAAATCCTTTGTACCTGTGAGATTGGGTGGAAGGAAAAATAATTTTTGAGAACAGGACACCTCACCAGTATTAAAAGAAAAATTTGAAAGGGGAAAATAATGGTGCATGGAAAATATATTTGTTCTAGTTTAGGTAAGAATGCCCAAATGGTTGATACAACTATTGACAGGAAAAAAAAAAAACAAAAAAACCTGTGGGATGCAGCAAAGGCAAAGACCCACGGGCAAGGTATATGGTTGGGCAAGGGCTCTAGGTGCTGACAGCTGTGGGTAGATATTATTGCTCTTTTCCTTTTCATCCTAGTGACTAGAGTTAACCATCTTGATAAACATTATAAGATCGCTTGATGATCTGAAAGCTACCCCACCCCACCCAGAGGTTCTGAATAACGAATCTTAGAACTTTGGGGCTGGATGACATGATTGAGTTTAGACCCTTCAATTTACCGTTGAATGAATTTAGGCTGATGGGTGGTAGGGCTAGCCTAAGGAAACAGAGCAGGTTGATGTGAGAGAGATTAGGATGCAGCCCTCTGAGTCTTCCTCTTCCAGAAAAGCTCTCCCCCGTGACACCCTACCTTCTCCCCCGGAGGAGAAGAATCTGGGCTTTTGTGTCTGGCAGGTTCTAGGAGCAACCACGCTGCCCTTCTGCCTGGGACTAGGCTCAGGAGCTGTTCCTGTCGGTTGGAACATTTAATACTCAGACTGTAGGTACCTGTGTTTTCATATCCCAATCATAGTAGGTTAGTGTCCTTTTTGAATGGGCAAGTCCCCAGACCCCCAAGTCTCCCCACCCACCTGCAGATGAACATGATCCACCAAGAAAGCTAGTCAAAGGGCCGTTGAGAGGATGAAATTGGAGAATCCATACCAACCACCCAGATCAGTGCATGGCACGCGGCATATGACATGCAGTTAGTGTTCGCCATGTTATTATTATAATTATCAATATTAAAATTGGTGCAAATGATGGCCTCCCGTGGAAGGGATGTTGAAGCTGAGATCAAAGGATGAAGGATTTGCCAGGTATAGGGGAGGGGCAGGGCTGTGCCTGGCAAGCAGGACCGTTGACATCATTTGCAAGGCCCGGCATAATATGAAAACATGGGCTCCTTGTTCAAAAATCATTAAGACTTTCAAGACAACAGCAGAACATGCATTAAACAAAGCCCTTCTGAGAGTGGGGCCGTGTGTGACTGCACAGGTTACATGCCCATGAAACTGGCCCTGCTAGGTGTGAGAGAGTTCTGGCCACATCCAATTATTAGTAGAGCCAAAACAAATGGGCAAAAAGAAGTTTGTGATGCTGGCACCATGCTGAACCTATAGCTGATGTGATTCAAGAAGTGGGCCTCCTTCATTTGCTGGTAGAAACCATGAAGGTCAACAAACCTGGAATGCATGGGCTGGACTGTGAGCTTTTCCCTCTGAAATGCAACCTGGGTTTTAAGCTGTTAAGGGTGTGAAAGGTTTCTTTCATCTCTGGAGCCAAAGCTTCAGTGAGCAGCTCCACCCTGACACGTGTGTTACAAATCCAGCCTGTTCCCTCCTCCCCTTCCCTGCGAGGAGGAAATGGCTCTACCCCCCGGGAGTCCACAGTCCACTTTCTTGCAAAAAATGACTCCATTTTAAAGCCAAGCTCCCTCACTGAAGAAAAAGCCAGCCCAAGACAGGAGTTAAATATAATAGCAAGGTAGAAAAAATTCTGTTGCCAACCATATCATCTCCACATCTGTATTTTTCCTGCAGGAGGCCAGGTTAAGGCTGAAATATCAGCCTGACTACATTTCCTTGGTGCCCTGAGCACTCCTAGCCAGAGTGTGAGGCCACCTGGGCCTGTGTTTGTCAGTCGTGATGGAAAGCCTAATCCCACCCTCCTCCTGGAGAAAGGCCTCACCTATCTCACCTAATTCCTGAGCTTCTCAGACAAATTAGGAAGATTATGGGGAGAGGAGGTCTCCCTGTTTATGTTTAACCCCCTGTCGGGCACAACTGATCTCACAGATTCGTTGTACACAAATTTTCAAATATCTAACAGTTAACTTAAGTATCGTGACTCATCACCTCCGTATCTTCCCCCTCTACCATAACCTATCACCAGTCGTGTTTGTGACTTAGTCCAGTAAAGACGTATTTCATAGCGGCATCTTTGTGTGCAATGAATCTGTGAGATCAGTTGCGCCCGACTTAAGCAAGTCATGGTGATCTGACTCAGGCTGCTTGAGGCTTTTAAACATTCAGACAACATCTAGTCTCTGTAGAGAAACATCGCTAACTCACACTGTGAACTCCCAAAAATGCACCAGTCACTTCTTCAGCACCGCCTGGCGGCCAGTGTGTAACATCGGGTAACAAGTGAGTCCTTCTATAATGATTCCCGTCCCCTGGAATGGAAAGGGGTGAGTTTGGACAAAAGAGCAGGACTCTGGGCAGTCCAGCAGCATCTGCTGTCTTGAGTAGGCCTTGGGAGCCCAGGCCTCTGCCCAGGAATCTGGCGCCTTCTTTTCCTCCTCATCCCTCTTTCTTTAGAGTCCTTACAGAAAGCCAGTGAGCCATGGAGACAGGAGCTGAAGTTCTATGGAAGGCTGAGTGTGAGCATGGCGAGGCCCTACAGGGAAGGCAGTTTACGAGGCCCCTTCTCAGCCCCCAGCGCCCTTCAAGCCCCAGCTCAATTGCATTTCTGTGGGGCCCTCCTGGCCATCTCCACACCACAAGAAGAAATCTCTCCAAACCTATCCTTACATCTCTGTGAGAACTACATCCACTTCTCACGTCTTCTCTGCACAGACTATGGTCTCTCCTTGGACACTACTTTTATGCCCCAAACACCTGTCCAGGGAAGGCTTTTCAGTAAAGGTCAAGGAAACAAATAAATGGATACCAGCCCCATCCTCAGAGCTGCCTCATCTTGGCCCAGGGTCATTCTCCAGATCACATTTCTGAACTTCTTTCTCTCTCAGTCTAGTTTTGGACTCTCAACTTGGCATCGCAAGCAATATTGGACTTGCCTCCCCTCACTCTCTGGAGTGTACTTCTTTTTTTTTCTGTAGATGGCTACCTACCATCTACAGAATTAAAAGTCTTCCTCCTTTCACAATTTGGTCCCTTTCTCAGCCAGGGATGCCTGGCTTCCACTTTGACCTCTGTTCCCTCAAACTCACAGCCGTTGTCATTGCCTAGGAAGAAAATAGGGCAACGTCCTTTGTGTTGCTAGATCAAGTAACCCGGAGTTTTTCAAAGGACATGAGTCCTCTGAAATTACCCCAAGCTCTCATATAATACCACGCAGTGGGAAACACAGGTTCTCCTGCTGGTGGCCCACCTTGCATGCCACATGTACCCACTGTCACCCTCAGGATTGGAAGAGACCACACAGCTGGAGTATTGTGACATCTCTCCAGCATGATCCCCATTGCAGACACTCGCCGTCTTGTTCTTGTTAGATGGATGTGCTGGGTTGAAGAGTGTCCCCTCCAAAAGTCATGTCCTTCCCAGAACATGAGAATGCAGCCTTATTTGGAAACAGTGTCACTGAAAATGTAATTAAGATGAGGTCATACTGAAGTAGAATGGGCCCTTAATCCAATATTACTGGTGCTTTTGTAAGAAGAGGAGTAGAGCTATAGATACACAGAAAGGATGCCACATGACGATGGAGGCAGCGATTGGGGTAACACATCTATAAGCCAAGGAATGCCAAGCGATGCGGCACCTCTGGGAGCTGGGAGACAGGCACGGAACACATTTTCCCTCACAGCTTCCAGAAGGAGCCAAGCCTGCCGACACCTTGCTGACACCTTGCTGTTGGACTTCTGGCCTCTAGAACTGTGAAAGAATAAATTTCTGTTGTTCTAAGCCATCCAGCTTCTGGTCATTTGTTATAGCAGTCCTAGGAATCTAATATTGGGTTGTTGGAAAAGTCATGATGCATTTTTGCAATGAAAAACAGAAAAAATACATCCTGACTTTTCCGACAACCCAATAGAATAAAATAAAGAACCCTGTATTTGCAAACTCTTCCATACATTTCCATTTTTAGAAACTTGAGCTCTGTGGGATTTTATTAACTGGATCTTTTTATCCTTAACCTCAAATTAGTATAACTTTCTAGCCTATCACTTTATATTAATCTATCTGTTCCCCCTCTCACTATTTCCAGAAGTGGAATAATAAGTCTATTCCACTGAGTATCACCCACTGGAGGGTTTTCTTAAATATCTTTCCCTTTGGATGGGAGGGGTGCATACAAATTACCCAGCGATCTTGTTAAAATGCTGGCTTGGATGAAGTAGGTCTGGGATGGGGTCTGAGATGCTGCACTTGGTCCAGGGGTCCCACTTGGAGCAGCAAGGAGATAGACTGAAGTGGCAGTGACCTCAAGTCATCCCTGTTTGCTTTGGAAACATCTTTACTTTGAAACCAGAACACGATTTTGTTCTTGAAATTTGTGTCAGACAACATTGTAAAATCACACTGTAACATTCCACTTTGGGGGAAACTAGGAAGTTATATCTATTTCCACAGGCCCACCCTCAGGCCTCAGTTTGAGCAACAGCCCCTCCACGGCTGCCTCCATGGAAACAAGCCCTGGCATTTTCTTCCCTGACATCCTCCCAGGCTGGGAAAAAGCAGAACGCTGTAAGTTTAATGAGAGGAGAGCGAAAGCGTGCCTGTAGTCTGGTCCTCTGGTTCTGCTGGCAAGGGCATTCTAGAAGCTCTGCAGACTTGCAAGGCTCCTGCTCTCACTTGCTCTCATTGCTTCTGAAGGCACCCCCAAACCAGGAGGGCCTCTGTGATGTGAGCCTTGGGGAAGAGAGAGTGGAGAGGGGCCCCTGCGGAGGTGATGGAGAGCCAATCAGCTACTCTGGGTCACTCTGGAGGCCATGAGTCCCATCCCCAGAGACATGCAGAGAGCACATGGTCCTCTCCTTAATACCTGAAACAGAAACTGAAGCTGCGGACACAGAGAGCCAGGGAGGGGATACTGGAGATAAGACATGCAACAACACAGGCA